CGTACGCGATGTCCTCGAGGGGGCAATCTGCGTGCATTGCGAGCGTTTTCCACTGAAAAAGCTACGTTCTCGTTTGTCTCTCTTTTCGAGTAAAGAGACATCGTCTCTCAAAACTCCCTCCTTGCCATCCATGCCCCTTCAAGCTACATCTAAGTTGAATGGCAGGGCATACGCAGCAGCAGGTCAGGCTGTTGCTTCGCTGCACACGATGGCGGTGCTCCAGGCATACCAGGCTGACCTGCTGAAAGACCTGGATAAAGGCGAGGACGCAGTGTCTCGTTCCCTACAAAGTGAACCATGATTACATAAGTAACCTGAGACGTTATCCGCTCTCTTATCCTCAAACATACCTGGGTATGTCACATAACCTACTTTCTGGGATACACCCCTGTTCATTTACTAAATGTAAATGTAAATATATTTATCTTGTGCATTTATACATCTTGGTTTCTTTAGTTCATGGTCAGTTATTGTCTATGCATGTTTGCCTGCTGTTTTTTTTTCTTCGTCTTTGTACCCTTTGGACAATCCTTTTTTTTTTTAAACAAACTTGCTGCAACTGGATCCACTGTCTATTCTCTGCCTTGCTGTGACAGGTGTTTTATGAAGAATTGAATTACTGAAACGTACATTTTAAATCTAATGGAAGCCCTGTGCGTTATCGCCTTAAATTATTTCTTAAAGCTAAAAGCATCAGATGTATTCATTGATCATTGAGTTTACTTCAACTGTATCACCACAGTCAAAGCTTTCTGGAAGTCATCTACCAGACCTCTACCAGATAAATAAACACAATAAGTAAACACATTATCTGCTGTTTGTTTTGTTCTTTACACAGGTTATGTGGATGTAATCTCACTGCTCAATCTCATGGAAGTTTGTCTTCAGCTCTACAATCCTCACACTCTGTCCTGAGAGAGCTGGACCTGAGTAACAATGACCTGCAGGATTCTGGAGTGAAGCTTCTTTCTGATGGTCTGAAGAGTCAAAACTGTCAACTGGAGATACTGAGGTAAAAGATAAATTAACAAAATATTTTGTGTGTTTATCAATTTGTAAAGCTCGTGATGTAACTGTTAGGGGTGTAAATCGTATGGTTCATCACGATATGATACGATATTGATTCTTATACCTAGGGATACGATATTTGCAGATACTTCAAAAAATTCTACAATACGATTTGATACAGGAGAATATCGATCAATATATCGATATTATTATATTATATACCTATTTTAAACAACCATCTACATTTTTATTAACTCACAAATGCAACCAAAACATATAACATGAACATTTATCTTACATTTTCACATCCTGTTCCTCAACTGGGACATTCACAACAAAAAATAGGCCTACACTTTTTTTTTTTTAATAATAATAAAGAAAAATAAATAATTGAAAAAATTAAGTCACACACAAGATCAGTAATCTTAAAATATGACAACAGTCAAGACAACCTTTCAGGTTTTTGTGCTAAAATATGCAATGTGTAAAATAATGTAAATGCTCATTAGGAAACAACACAAAAGAGGTACTCCAGTTGTAGGAAAAAATATATTAATGTAGAAAAATACATTAAAAAAATATCTAAAATAAAGCTGTTAAAACTTCATTTGACTTTTTTTGGCTGCTACTATGGGCTCAGTGCTAAAAACCTTTTCTACAGATTACCAAATTACAAGCAATAGCAGAAAATAAATACAATATCCAAGACACAAATTAAATAAACAGTGCTTTTCAGGTTTTTCAGGTAGATCTGAAATAAATTTTCAGGTACAGAAATGTAATAATCAAATGTAAAATAACACTGCATAGTCTTCACTGTATAGATTAAATATAGATTAATCCTTATAAAAGTTGTTCGGTCAAAATCAGTGAAAGATGTTTTTCTTTGACAGAAGTTTTGTTAGTCTGCTTTCACTTTAAGAACGAAAGCGCTGATCTAATATACTGATACACATGCGTTTTCTTTCTCAACGGTTTACTTGGCTATTCGCCAAGGCACACATGTTGATGTAATTTGGTCTGTATTTGTTCATCCATGCA